TAAGAGATACTATTCTTGCAAAAATATCTTTTAACAACAATTACATACCACATTTATATTTCTCCACTTAAGCTGTGTTGGCAGACACTGCTGTGTGAGGTCGTGGCAAGTTTTTAGGTTATGTTTTACACATTTCTAACATATTTTTACATGTTGTATTTCTGTGAAAAATTTTAAGGGGCTCAGCGTGAAATGAAAATCTTGTCACCGCTGTCACGAATAGCTTTCATTGGTCTGGCCTGTAAAGAGAGACACTTCCCTCAACTCGTCCGATCCATCGCTGTCAGCAGTGCTGCGTCCCGCAAAGGAGAACGGCAGCTTTGGGGCACCACCAAGAAAACCAGAACTTTACGTTTGTTGCCGTGGGAAATTATGGCTGACCCTAAAATTGAAGAGGCCTTAGCGCCCTTAAGAGCTGCTGTTAAAGAACAGGTTGGTCCATTTTTTATTCGATTGCAAGTATGTGTTACACATACATCCGCCCGGTTGACATCAGTCAGGCACAGCACTTGGTTATGCCGGTTTCCATTCAATCCATTTCTTCCATTCTAGTTCCGATTTCACATATTTCACAATAATTAATACCTTGCCCCATTGAAACCGTAAAATCAACCTTGGCTACAATATCCAACATTTAGTTTTTGGTTATTCTTGTTCTTTGTATCTACTGCGACTGATGCAAATTTTTGTCCATAGAAAAAATGAGTTGAATGAAAATGACTTTATTTATTATGTTTTTTGGACACTTTTGATGTGCATGTTTAACAAATGGTCAAAAGAATTGTTAGACATTGTAACTGATACTCCACAAAGGTCAAATTGTTCATGTTATTTAAGTTATTGATGTCTTAAATCTTTATTCTAGGGTGACTTAGTTCGTAGCTTGAAGCAGTCAGGAGCTCCTGACCTGGATGTCAAGAAAGCTGTCGTTGAACTGAAAGCACGTAAGAAGATCCTCGAGGACAAGGAACTTTCCCTCATCCCAAATGTTGCTACTTTTGACCGAGCTAAAATGGAAGATCTTCTTAAAAGGAGATTCTTCTTTGACCAGTCCTTTGCCATTTATGGAGGTATGTTCGATTTCATCTAGTGTCTGTAGTTTCTATTTTTTAAATAGGTTTAATATATTAATGTTTGGAACAGGCATCACAGGTCAATTTGACTTCGGACCAATGGGATGTGCTATGAAGGCAAATATGTTAAACACATGGCGAAGCTTCTTTGTTTTGGAAGAACAGATGCTGGAGGTTGACTGTTCTATTTTAACACCAGAACCTGTTTTAAAGTGAGTCAATTTTATAGAGCCATATTAGTGTGTATTGGATTTAGCTTTGAATTTTCTCGTATCTATTCTATTAATTTTGTTCACTCAGGGCCTCCGGACATGTAGACAGATTTGCTGATCTGATGGTGAAGGATGTTAAGAACGGCAACTGCTTCCGGCTTGATCACCTAATCAAAGCTCACCTTGAAAAGCTAGCTTCAGAAAAAACAGCTACTTCGGAACTTAAAGCAGAGTGCACTGATATTGTTGTGAAACTTGATGGAATGACAAAAGATGAAATGGCCAATATTTTAAAGAAATTCAATATCAAAGCTCCTCTTACCAACAATGATCTTACTGAGCCTATTGAGTTCAACCTGATGTTTGCTACCCAGATTGGCCCATCTGGACTTGTGAAAGGGTAAGTAACAAAAGTTAGATGGCTGGATCATTCCTTAATTCATGCTGTAACTATAAGCTTGAATGTTTGGTGTTCAGGTTTTTGAGGCCCGAAACAGCCCAAGGCATATTTGTAAACTTTAAACGTTTATTGGAATTCAACCAAGGCAAGTTGCCATTTGCCGCTGCTCAAATTGGGAATGCCTTCAGAAATGAGATTTCCCCTCGCTCTGGTCTTATAAGAGTTCGTGAGTTTACTATGGCTGAAATTGAGCACTTCTGTGATCCAAATGATAAGGCTCATCCCAAGTTTGATAGTGTGAAAGACACTACTTTAATGCTCTATTCAGCATGTAATCAAATGGATGGTAAATCAGCTGAAGCTGTTAAAATTGGTGATGCAGTGGAGAAGGTAAAATTTTAGTCCAATATCTGCCTTCATATTTGTATCTAACATCCTTAAACTCAATGTACTAATTTTCATTTTTGAGTAGGGTCTAGTGGCAAATCAGACTCTCGGCTACTTTATGGCACGTATTCACCAGTTCCTTGTCAAAGTTGGAGTGGATTCTGCCAAACTTCGGTTTAGACAGCACATGAGCAATGAAATGGCCCATTATGCATGTGACTGTTGGGATGCGGAGTGCTTAACATCATATGTAAGTTTTTAATCAATGCTCTGAATTGAATTTTCTTTGATTTAATGTACTTTAAAAAACATTCATTATTGTTCGCCTTTATATGATATTTTTAGGGCTGGGTTGAGTGTGTTGGCTGTGCTGATCGATCAGCTTTTGATTTAACACAACACACTAAAGCTACAGGTGTGCGTTTAGCTGCTGAAAAGAAACTACCAGAACCACAGACTATTGATGTTGTAGGTAGGTTTGAATGCATTCTTAAAATGAGTTTGGAAAAATTAATGAAGATTATCCTTAAGAAATCATGAAGGTTAATTTTAATAATGGATATCATTGCTATTTTGCAGAGGCTATGCCTAACAAGGGGGCTTTAGGAAAGGAATTCAAAAAAGAAGCCAAACAAGTGATGGATGCTCTGTCTGCTCTGGATAAGAATGCAGTGGACGATTTAGCAAAGCAGTTGGCAGAGACTAAGTAATTAAAAATATTGTGACTTTCTTAACTGAGACATTCAACATAAAGAAAAAAAATTTCAAATGTTAATCTGTCTTTTTTGTTACAGCCTCTATACTCTTGCTGTTGATGGCAAGGATGTTAAATTGACCAAAGACCATGTTGAAGTTAAGAAATATCAGAAGACAGTCCATGTAGAAGAAATAATTCCTAATGTAATTGAGCCTTCATTTGGTATTGGGCGCATCATGTATGCCATTTTTGAGCACAATTTCAAAACCCGTGAGGGTGACGAACAGAGAACGGTAAATTACATGTTTGATTCACTTTAACTTTGTACTGTTAATTCCTTGGTAATTGTTACTTAACAGCAAATCTCATTTTCAGTTCTTCTCATTACCCCCTGTGGTTGCGCCTTACAAATGTTCTCTCCTGCCTCTCCTTAACAACCCTGACTTCACTCCTATTATTAAGAAGCTGTGTAAGTTCCTTTGCATCTTATTATTAAGTGGGTTCTCTTATTTTTTGTTTACTTACTGTCTTGTTTTGTTTTTGCAGCCCAAAATTTGCTGCTGCTTGATGTATCACACAAAGTAGATGATTCTGCTGGATCTATTGGTCGCAGATATGCCAGAACTGATGAAATTGCTATTCCTTTTGGTATCACTATTGACTTTGACACCTTGAAAGACTCAACTGCCACCTTGAGAGAAAGAGATTCTTGTCAGCAAGTGAGGATTCCGGTAAGACAATAATGACCAAAAATCTTAAACATCTTTCACCTTTTAGTACATGCATGTTTTTGTGCGTGCCCATATTAATCCTCATCACATCTCTTTTAGCTTGCTGAATTGCCTGATATTGTCAAGGATCTTGCTATTGGTAGAAGACGATGGGCTGAAGTAGAAGCTAAATATCCTAAACAAGGTGAAGTGAAAGAGTGAAGTCAGACTTTGCTTTGCACAAGTTTTGTTCCTGTTTTGTATGTATACTGCTGCTGCTTCTTCATACTTGATATTTATTATTTTCCTCTGAATATTTGAGAAGTGTCAATGGATCTGTGTAATGTCTCTAATGAAAAACCAGTGAAATTTTTTCAGATTTTATTATTATACGTATTTATTAGAGGGTTCAGGGTGTGCTTTCAATGAATCATTGTACCTGTATGAAATGCATTGGGTGTGTCATGTTTGTAGCAGTGTTTTATGTTTTTATTGTATAGAAGCTAGTTTA